GTTATCCCCCCTTTTATATGTTTTATTGATACACAGGTATCCACCCTTCTTATATGATTGATACACAGGTATCCACCCTTGTTTTATGATTGATACACAGGTATCCACCCTTCTTATATGATTGATACACAGGTATTCACCCTTCTTTTATGATTGATACACAGGTATCCATCCTTCTTATATGATTGATACACATGTATCCACCTTTCTTTTATGATTGATACACAGGTATCCACCCTTCTTTTATGATTGATACACAGGTATCCACCCTTCTTATATGATTGATACACAGGTATCCACCCTTATTTTATGTTTGATTCATTGGTATCCCATGATACTAAGTTAAGTTTTTATTTTGTCTCAGAGTTTCATTATCCTAGATAAGTGGTTTACAATGTATTGGGTTTCCGAAATTTGGATGAGCTGTTGTCATAGTTTTACAGTTAATTCTGTAGTTCATAGTGCTAGATTGTATATTTAGAGCTCAAATATGCAGTCAAATTAGACAATAGGCCCATCTATCTTTCTGTTTCAATATCTTTGTAGGATATCCTCTGATGAATTAGAACAGTCTGCTCTTCTCAGCCTTCATAGTCCTTATATGTCTGTTTGTCATAATTGAATCAACAAATCAAGAAGATATCATTCAACGTTTGAATCATGGTGCAGTGTTTTGACAAGAATCTAGACTGTTTTTAGCCAAATAATGTTGGCTCCATACTTTTAGAGTTAATGTATTATGAAGTAATAACTTGACTGTCTGTTTGTTTTATTCGCGCCGCATCGTTGTCAATATAATGGAATTTGATGCGACTGTCATACAAGTGTGAGGTTTAGCGCTATAAAACCAGGTTCAATCCACCATTTTTCTACATAAGAAAATGCCTGTACCAGAGACATATATATGTCTCTGCCTGTACAAAGTCAGGAATATGACAGATACATGTAACTTGCGGTCAAACGAAATGTTTAGTTTTCTTCAAAACTTGCCATTCATATTGCCAGATTTAAATACTCTCTATATAATGTTGTAACGCTTAGGGTTGCTATTTTTGTTCAATTAGCTATCAGTTTATATATTGTAAAACACCAAAAAATGGCAATGGCCATATCAGTTATGCAATTTTTCTCATGTATGACATCCCAAACACCCCCATCATTTATATATCGTAGACCCACTCAAGAACCACGGTATGATTTTTCAACAAAAGTTCAGCAATTTATTTCAAAATTTACATGGGTACATGCATCAGTTTTAATTAGTATAATTGTCTTATTGTTTTTGATCATTTTAATTTGCTATTTGTATAAATCAAAACATAACCGGTGTACAACTTTGGTCTTAGAAATTACATCAGGTGGTGATTGTGTTGTTGTTCTTATTTTAAACTTATCTTTGTGCTCATCCTATTATGAAATTTTCAAATCCTCAGTTCAAGAATTGCCGCTTTTTCCTCATGTAAATCGTATGATACGTGGACATCATTCAAAGTTACTAATTTGTTAACTGAGCAAAGTATTCAGATTCCCACTACAATTTCACTTAGCTTAAGAAATCGTTATAAGCTCCCATATATTTTAAAACAAACATTCAATACCTACATCTATGTGACACACCAGGGATTCGCTAATGTTCTGAATCCGCCAACAGATTCTTCAAATAAAACTAAGAAATCATCTGTAGCCGATTCAAACTCTTTGTATCCAATGTTATTGGCATAAGTATTGTATCAATATATTCATATGGCATGACTTAATCCAGATGTAGAGTATTACTATGACCTTGATGAACAAGACTTTCTGATTATATTTTTTTAGTTTGTGTATTACATGTTTTTTTAGTATATTTTTACACGATTAATATTATTGATTTTTTTATGCATAAAAAACTTCATTCTGTTATTTGGACTTCATGTTCATTTACAAACAATTACCGTAAATGCTGCTGTACTACCCGCTTTCGACTACGTTACAATGATTTGAAAAAAAGAACTGATGGATATTTAATGGATTCTATGGAAAGCATTCAGTATCGAATGTATACATCCAGTATTCTTAGAAATTCCATTCTACACAAATATGGAGGAAATCCAGTGCGCATTTATGGAATCAGGGCATACATTCACCATGGACTTCATAGTGATCTATTTGTTGAATATCATGTTTGACATTTGTATGAACTTTAACATCACTTATAGCTTTATTTTTCAGATGTATTTACAAACAATGTATTTCGATAAAGATTTCACTTAAATATTAAAAGGCGGTCCTAAAATACCATAAGCTGATAGGTTTTTCTGGAGTTTTCATAGTTAGAAATTACATTTAAAATCTTTTAAGAATTTTAATTTTGCAATGCAAGAATTTTACACACATTTTATTTTTCTTATACGTTTTGAAGTTTTTGTATAACGTTGTCATTTCAAGGTTATTATCAAGCAAAACAGGAAAATAACTTTTAGGCTTATTAGACAAAGAAAAGATTATTCCCAGGTGTTCTCACTTGTACTATCTCGTATGTGAAAAAGCACATGATTTAGCACATGGTATACTATTCTGTCTCTGTTTCTATGAATTTTGTGTTAAAAAACTTTTTATTGGCCTAAACCTGAGAAATAGCTTAAATCCATGGAGTCACTTTTTTCTTGAGTAGCGTCACTCTACCACTCTTTCTGCGCTCAAGAAATAAAGACTCTTTTCATTGAATCCTTGGTTTTGACTATTTTCAGGCTTGTCAAAGACATATGTGTCAGTTTCTTATCTTAAGCAAGCAGCACCTAAAAAAATTAAGATTCACGAGATACCTCATCACTCGCTCTACCCACCCAAACAAACAAATACACACAAATCTTGGTTGTGTCACAAGACTTCTAAAACAGGTCACTTGTGAGTTGAGACACAGATACATCGTATCGGTTAGCCCATTCTTGAGGCATGGTGATCATATAACTTATGTAGTTTAGCTTTCATTCGCTTTTTCCTCACAACAGTATTCAGAGAGTTTATTTGTGTGCCAGTAGCACATTGAAGTCCATATAGTGTGAACATACACGAGCGTAACATACTAATTGAGATATGTATATGCCATACGATTTGACGGAGGATCTGTTGCTAATGAGAAACGGGAAGCTGACTATTGGAAAGTTGAAATCATCACGTTTGTCATAGATTCTATTTGAAGTTGTCTATCTTTGTTAGCTTTAGGGTTTTTGTCTTTGGGTTTTCCTGATGTGGGTAGGTCAAGAGGTGTGATTCAGACGCATGAAGTTTTAGTGTTATTTTCATTATGTATACCCTTGTATTTATATCTTACTTGATTTGTACTTCAGCGGGAAATTAATATGAATTTATGTTTTACTATACTGTATTAACTATCAACTAGAAAATTTGTGAGAATTATATATATATTTATCTGAATATTAAAGTCAGTTGTGTTGCATGTTATTTTTACATATGTTTACACAGTGTTTGGCGGCTAGATCCCATTTATTGTCACGTTAACCAAAATTATCTGTTTGAGTTGCTTACCCAATTTTGTCAACATAATAGAACTATAAGAAAACTGTCAAACAAGTGTGAGGATTAGGACAAAACGAGATTAACGACAAGACTACATAGATTAGAAATGAGACATTTAAAGTTAGAAAACACAATCAGAACAATGAATCCTGTAGTCACGGTAAAGGCTGAATTCCTGTCACGTAATGTTGTCATTTAAGAGGTATTTTTAACATTTCAATATAAGCGGGAGGTTTGGCTAGCCATAAAACCAGGTTCAACCCACCATTTTTGTTTTAAATGTCCTGTACCAAGTCAGGAATATGGCAGTTGTTATCAAATAGTCCATTTCTATGTGTGTTGGCGTTTGTTTTTCTCTTAAAGTTGATGTGTTTCCCTCGGTTTTAGTTTGTTACCCGGATTTGTTTTCACTTAATCGAATTATGACTATTGAACAGCGGTATACTACTGTTGCCTTTATTTTTCCTAGAATAGACATCTGTGTAGCTTAATAGTCTTGTACTTGAACATGAGACCTATTGGTTTTGATTGTTGAGGCAATGCTGTGAAAGTTGTAATATATATTATTGTAACATTCAAAGTTGTGATGGAGCCTTGATGTTACACATGTATTTACTGTTGCATTTACTCAAAAGTGGTGATGTGCCTATATATGCAATATATAAGATTTCAGGTTACCGATCCTTTTGTTTAGCTCCACATAATTTATTGCTATGCAATAAGTTCACATTTTTGTGTCCTCCAATAAAAAAAAACATGTCCACTTGCTTATTGTTGAAGGTGGTATGGTGACCTATAGTTGCTTACAACTACATCCTTTGGTCTCTGTGAGATTGTTGTTTCATATACAATCATTTCACATCTCCTTATTCTTATATACATATGTATTTATTGAAAAATTGAAATTATACTGGAATATAATTCCTTGACTTAAACAAGAGGCTGTCGATTGACAGCAAACCGGATTTTCCTGCAGAGGTCGAACCCTGAACAGTTGAGCAAGTATGGACACAACATTTAAGCTTAAAACAGCTCTGAATATGGATTGTGACTGAATATTTAAAGATTTTTATCTAATTAATAATGCAAATGATATTTGCAAATCTGAACCCCAAACAGGATCACGTAAAAATTAAACATTAACACACACAACAAAAATAAAATACCACATAACAACTGTGACATCTACCTTCATAACACACATGACTTAAAAAAAAATAGTTATAAAGAAATTTTGATGTTATCATGTGTTCATGGAATAAGTTTGAGTTATTTCCCTTTGAACAGAAATATGGTTTAACATTGTACTCTAACATTAGATATGATTAATAGTTCTCTAAAATTAGATATGATGTAACACAATGTATATCTATTTTCATATTATATTCAAATATAATTAATAGTTCCAAATATTTTTTCTTTCATTTGTCACAAACTAATACAGATCTGCAACTTATCTATGATCAATGAACAACTTTAAATGTAATGAAATATATCCTATAATTAAAACAGATTATTATCTAATTAAAGGAGTTCACTTCATAAAAAAAAATATATACATATAGCATTCAGAAAATTAGTTTATACAGAATAACAAACAAACCTACCACAAAATTCTTCATACAATTTACCAAAAAAAAAAAAAAAATCCAAAATGACATTTATCTTTAATACAATGTCTTTTAAAAAATGAATTATTTCCCTTTGTACAGAAATGGATTAATTCATCAAAAATTGAATTCTTGGAAAAGGGCTATAACTGAATGAGAAAAGCTAAAATTGTGAAAATTTAACTTGACCTTCATTTAATCACAGGAAAAAACATATCTAAATTTGAAAAAATTCTTCAAAGCGTTTTCATGTAAATAAACGGACACTGTTTGGCAGCCGCCCGCCCGCCGTACATCCCCAAATCAATAACTGATTTTTACTTTGAAAATCCGGTTAAAAATGCATTTAATCTTGTTAATTATATCTTGATAACTAAAATGGTTTATATCTTATCTATATTAAGATGTCAGAAACCTTAAAAACAATTGCTATTTCTGATTCTACTTCAACAAAAATCTTCTTTAAAAATAAGTAACAAGTTAATACAGAAAAAAATATTTAATAGTCAACATCTTTCAAATACTTTATACAAGTCAGGTAGATTGGCTATCTGTAATATACTAGAGTCTTCTGCAAAAGATTTGGGGGGAAATAAAAAAGTTCTAAAAGCTGGGTATAACACATGTTCTATCGTCCATTTCCAACTTTTATCCGCATCTTCTTCCTGAAAGCAACACCAACAATATATTAACAATTCTAGTAACAATTCCATAAGATCATTCCTAAACCTTATATTATCATATAGAATGTAATCAAATTACAAAGATATTTTATTAGATTCCATTATTTTGATTGGCAGACTACAATTTTAAAAAAGAGAAATCCTATAACTAGTGTGACAAATTGACCATGTTGATTTACATATAGATCATATTTTACTGATCTTTTTGGCTTTTTAAAGTTTCTCTCCAACTCCTATAGCTTTTGACAAAAATTAAAAGATGGATAAAAATTACCATTAAGGGGAAATAAATTCTATCAGGAGTCAGTTGACAATTTGGGTCATGATGACTGATTTGTAGATCATATTGTGCTGAACATTGTTTTTTTTACTGTTTCTTTCATTCTATTATTGTTAGTAAAAAACTGCAAAAATGGGAAAATCATCTTTCCAGAGCAATAACTCCTTTCAGGGGTCAATTGACGATTTCAGCAATGTTTGGCTTATTTGTAGATCTTATTTAGCTAAACATTTTGCTGTATATTGTTGCTCTTAGGCCAGGTAAGCTAAAACATGATATAGGTCCTTTTATTTGAGGAAAATGCATGTAAATAAAATATTTTATTATAAATGTACAAAATTTAAAATTTAATTCAAATCATTAAAAAAAAAATCTAATGATACAAATTGTCTCAATTAATAAAGATTTGACCATTTAACAGTTGCTTCTCAAGTTGAGGTAGAAGCAGATTTGAATGTTAATGATTTTGTCCCTTAAAATACCAATACCAAAATAATTTGTTATCAAACTTGCAATAAATATTCATGCATACTGTTAACACACATGATTGCTTAACTATAAAGACTAAAAACTTTATGAAGACTGTGAGGGCAGCTTGTTCTTTTTGGGAAAGAATGGAATTTTAATTTTAAGTCTAGTTGGGTTTAACTTACCTGAGAATCAGAATTTTTATCTTGGAACATACTTTTCTTCATACTATAAAAATCACTTGTTTCTCTAGCAAAAGTGTCAAAACATTCTTTTTCTGAGTCCCAATTAACCTGTAATAGAAATAACTCTCTTTTGTTGAGATCATATTGTGGATAACATTCCTTTGAAAGGAACTTTGTAAATGAATGAAATATGTTTAATTACAAGTGTCTTGTTTTCTGCAGCAAAAGATGCAAAAAGTACCACATTGAAAACAAAATGCTATGATAAATTTATGGTGATTATCATAACATTATGATACTATAAAGAAGGTCAAAGAGCAAGTGATCTGCATGTTAGTTCTAATACTGGTATGCTGGCACATTTCCTGTATACTGATAGTTAACCTGGATGTTTATAACAACACTTTTTAAAGTGAATCAAACTTGCATACCTGTATCTTGGCATTGCACAAGGTCAGGTTTTTTTCTTTGACTGTTAATGACATATTTACACTAAATTCATTGGATGTTGGATGTGTACTGATTGACATTTAAGTCTTAGATACATGATTTTTTATTAGTTGTTGTGGGTTTTGAACCGGCTGTCTGTAACTGCCAGTACTCTCACATCTGTACTTAGTGTCTTTTTTGTTGTGGGAATGTATAAATACCCTGCCACATCTAGTCTGTGTTTTTGTTAGATGTTTTCTGCTTTGTATCGATCTGATGAGTTAAGTCCTTTTCAACTGATTTTTATAGTTTGTTCTCATGTTGTACTGTTACATCACAGGACAGGGGGAGGGTTTAGCACCAGCAAACTAGTTTAACCCCCCCCCCACCACATTCTGTATGTGCCTGTCCAAAGTCAGGAGCCTGTAATTCAATGGTTGTCATTTGTTGCTTTATATCATATTTTTTTTTTGTTCTTTGTTTTGTACATAAATCATTTACTTTTGTAATTTAAGGGTCTTTCATAGCTGACTATGTGGTATGGGTTTTTCTCATTGTTGAAGGCCATACAGTGACCTATATTTGTTAACTTATATGCCATTTGGTCTCTGGTGGAGAGTCGCCTCATTGGCAACTATACCACATCTTCTTATTTTCATATTGTATATGTATGCTGCCAATAGTAGATGTATATGATGTTGTGTCCTTCTGAATATCAGTATATGTATATTCCATCCAGAACTCTTCCTGAACCCAACTTTCAATTAAACACTTACACAATTTTCTGTCATTATCACATTGGTTGAAATGAATTTACATGATTTCCCAGTGAAATAAAAACTGATAATTTCACTCCTTTGATGTCATACAACAAAAGGTGTTGTCAAGATGTTGTAGATGATGTTGCATCAACGCAAATTGGGTATGCGTAGAAAAAGATATAGTTCCTTGAATTTTTTCATCCATTAAAAAGCCAATGGTCAATGTAATAAAAAGAATAACTAATCAAAGAATTCAAATATAGAAAAATATTCAATTTGTGACTGAACAACATTGATAATTAACTCATGCGCTATGTGCATATGTGTGTGCCTGTATTTTTCAAATATATTCAGAAAGAGAGCAACTTTGAACTATAAAAATCTTTTTGTGACAAAAAAAAAAAAAAACAATGAAAACTCCTTTCAGAAAAAAGACATAGGTTTTGAAACCTTGGATACACTTTGGGTATTGAATTAAACTATGTCAAAATTATTTTACCTCTGTTGCTAGTCTAAGAATAAACATTGGTAAACCTTCCATATTTGGTACAAAGTCATCTATCAGCATTGGAAGAGTTAACAGGTTTCCAGACTATAAAGAGTTAGAAATTAATACAATGTTAAAAAAAGCAACAACAAAAAAAGTCCTTAGGCTTTTATAAAATAGACCTATTAAAACTGGCATGATACTCATGGAAGACATCTCTAAACAAAATTTTTAAATGTATCTTCAACAAAATAAAATTGTAATTGCCTGAACTGTATAAAAGATAACTTAGATCTTTAAAATGTTACTTCTTTTTGCTACAACAAGTGATATATGTGCCAAATCATTTTCTTCTAATCTATCAACTATATTGTAAATTAACACTAGGGGTAAGCTGTAAGTTAACAAAATGTCACAATACAAAAGGCTGTAAGACAGCAACCGAATACTTAAATTTTAAATGCTATTCAACTCCCTTACATTTCCTGTGTGAATGCCTTTTAGTTTGGACAGTGTTTTGCTGTATAATATTTTTTAGCATCTGAGAGTTAAATAGTCATGATTTTTAGGTAAGTTCACCATTTACCTGAACAAACAGTCTTTAAAACCTTTACTAAATTCTTCCATAGATACAAAAATTTGGTTTGGAAATTTGGTTGTACCTGAAGAAAACTTATTTCAAACGGGATAACACATCCTAATTTTTATGGATGTTGTTTACTGAGCCCGGAAATTTAGATACAATCCTGGTAAACTTATCGATCCTTTAAATAAACTTATTCTAAAAGGTTACCAATTCAAACTGTAATTAGATCTTTGAATATTGTTTTTATTGGTATTAATATTGATTTTTTTACAGTAAATTAAAATCAAACTGAATATTATTTTTATATATGTATGCACATTCATGGTTCTACAATCTGTTGATAGCTGTATCTTGGCACTGTCTTTTTTGTTGTGGGGATGTAAAAGTACCCTGCCACGTCCAGTCTGTGTATATTTCTGCTTTGTATCGATCTGATGAGTTAAGCCCTTTCCAACTGATTTTTATAGTTTGTTCTTATGTTGTACTGTTACACCACTGTCCCAGGTTGGGGAGGGTTGGTGCCTTCAAACTAGTTTAACCCCGCCACATTCTGTATGTGCCTGTCCCAAGTGAGGAGCCTGTAATTCAGTGGTTGTTGTTTTTTGCTCACTATCATAATTGTTTTTTGTTCATTATTTTGTACATAAATCAGGCAGTTAGTTTTCTTGTTTGAATTGTTTTACATTCATCATTTCCGGGCCTTTTATAGCTGACTATGAGCTATGGGTTTTGCTCACTGTTGAAGGCCGTATGGTGACCTATAGTTTTTAATTTCCATGTCATTTGGTCTCTTGTGGAGAGTTGTCTAATTGGCAATCATACCACATCTTCTTATTTTTATATTTCAATGATTGTATTACCTCTCAAATCAAATGTTTAAGACAAAAATAGCATTTAATCCCAAAATTGTACCTTCTCCTTAGAAAATATACTGGGTATACTTAGGTTAATTCTACTTTCTCTAACGTAACTGATTTTACTGCATTTGAAAACTATAGACTGATTTGATGGTACACAATCCTTAATCATATGGTAACATACACTATCAAGTTCTATTGAGAAATAATCCAGTAACATCTCTGCTTTACTAGTGAGAAATTCTACAATATATTTGGCCAAGTCTTCCTTAGGTCCATCAGCCTCTGTCCATCCACTCTCTTCAAGGTCTAATGCTAACATGGCTAACTCATATATTGGGGCAGGTTCCTAATAAAAGAATGCATGTGTATCAGAAAAGGATAACATTCCATTTAAGAAAATGGACACATTAATATTTCTTGTCAGCTTTATTGATTAACATGTAATGATGTGGGGAGTCTTTTGTATCAATCTTACAAAGGAGCATTGAAATAATTTTACCAACATCTTTTTTATTTACTGTACATTCAGAATTTTTTGTAATGTATAATCATTGCAAAATTAGAGATGGTATAGGAATCACTTATTATTAGGATTATTTGTTTTACATAAGCAAATCCTAAATGTATGCAGCATTTTTCAGAAATGGTGATAATTATCTTAAATTTTTGTATATTGTTCGTTCAACAATCTAATAATAAGTGCATGCAAAAATTTCTGAATTTAAAATACTTGATAATAAACAGCTGCGCCATGAGCCCATGATACGCCCGTCGCTTTTTCAAAGTATAAAGTTCAATAACTTCTCAGTGTTATATCAGAAATTTATGAAAAACTAAAAAGATGTTATCTTAATAGATATAAACCAGTCACGAAAGTTTCATGAAAACTGCTCAACGCACTTTAAAGATATTGTTCGAAAACTGGAAAATCACCCCTTTTTTATGAATAAAATCCCATAACTCAGAAACGTAAAATCTAAAATTTATAAAAATTGAAAGGGAGCTTACGTCAATAGATATAAACAATTCACCAAAGTTTCAGGAAAACTGCTGAAAGCATTTTTGAGTTATTGTCCGAAAATTGGAAAAAACCCTTTTTTCAATGAATAAAACCCCATAACTCGGAAACATAGAATCTAAAATTTATAAAAATCGAAAGGGAGCTCATGTCAATAGATATAAACATTTCACCAAAGTTTCTTGCAAATTGGTGAAAGTGTTTTTTGAGTTATTGTCCGAAAACTGGAAAATCCCTCCTTTTAATGAATAAAACCCCACAACTAGGAAACTTAAAATCTAAAATTTATAAAAAACTAAAAGGAGCTCACATCAATAGAAATAAACAATTCACCGAACTTTCATGTAAATTTGTTATAGTGTTTTTGAGTTATTGTCTGACATGTTGACAACAGACGGACAACAGGTTACCATAATACGTCCCGCAAACGGGCGTATAAAAAGGAGAATCAATGAACCATGAAAATGAAGCCAAGGTTAGGTGACCCCTGTAAGATGGAAATGTGCACTTTCAATAATTTATCAGACCAACTTTAAATCATTCAGTACAATAACTAAAAAGATTACATTTATGCACAAAAAATTAGTTAATCAATGAACCGTAAAAATGAGGCCGAGGTCAGGTGTTTACTGTCTGATTCACATGTATATCTTACACTGATTCTATAGAACATACAATTCGCGTATAACTAATGGCATCAATCATGAAAACATAACACTGAAAAGAGGTCAAGGTCAGGTATATCTGTTCCAACAAACATGTATAACTTACAATGATTCCATAGAGTTGATCTCATCTATTGCTAATAGTCGCTGAATAGATCACCAAATCAAAAAAGCTATACAATTTTATTATAGTTATTAAAATAATTAAACCATAAAATGTTACCAAGACCAATGAACATAAGCTAGACATAAAGTAACTGTAAACCAGAGATCTTCTTTTGTATAGACATAAAGTAACTGTAAACCAGAGATCTTCTTTTGTATAGACATAAAGTAACTGTAAACCAGAGATCTTATTTTGTATAGACATAAAGTAACTGTAAACCAGAGATCTTATTTTGTATAGACATAAAGTAACTGTAAACCAGAGATCTTCTTTTGTATAGACATAAAGTAACTGTAAACCAGAGATCTTCTTTTGTATAGACATAAAGTAACTGTAAACCAGAGATCTTATTTTGTATAGACATAAAGTAACTGTAAACCAGAGATCTTATTTTGTATAGACATAAAGTAACTGTAAACCAGGGATCTTCTTTTGTAACTTTTGAGTAAATGCTTTATACCAAAACTTCATGCAGTTACCATTTCAATAGCATTCATATGTCCCATCTTCAGCAACTTTTATCGCAGGCATTACAAAAATAAATAGCAATATATGAAAGGACAATGTATGATAAGGGTCATTTTTGGCCCCCTCTCGGAACCAGTTCATATTCATACCATCAATAGCCCTCTGGCAGGTACTACAAAAAATAACAATTTTTATTCGTTCCTGTGACATTTTGGTTGCCTAGCAACCGATTTCAAAAATCAAACTTGCAGTGTCTGCTTTTCGTTAAAAAAATCTCTTTTCAATGATTTTTGATGGTTTATTATGTTAAATCATATTATATTGTTTATCTGTACAAGTTTTTTTTTGTTTCCTTCAACAAAAAATAAATGTCTTATGCCTAGCAACTACATAACACAGATATTTTGCTTAGCAACCGTACTATTGCAGGCATTTAATGTATGTATTTGCACAAACAAGTAAGGGGACGACCATTTGATATTCTGGGGGGGGCCAGGAGGATTTTGAAAATAAATAACTCGGCCTTGATAATCACAAAAATAAATGGTTTGTTCTGTGGTAGTTTGAAAATAAATTACCTGACTTGCAATGTATTGAAAATAAATAACTCAGCAGGTCTAATCGAAAGTATGAGATAGCACCAGATTCTTCATAAATTCATCTTTTTTCCCAAAAAAAAATCGGGAAACACTTCCCATATCTTTTAAATTAATGATAAAAGTATAAATATTATTTAAATATACTTGCTGTGACCTATAATGGTTTACTTTTATAAATTTTGACTTGGATGGAGAGTTGTCTCATTGGCATTCATACCACATCTTCTTATATCTATTGAAATGTCAGAAAATTGGTTTCATTTAACTTGAGGTTAATTGTCTCAGGAACACTTACCTCACTTTTATTAAATCAGGGCCGTAACTACATTGAGACAAATGCCTCATGTAGGAAATTTCAAAACCAAACGCTTGTCTCCATATCAAATTGTGTTCACCGTGAGTGCCTTGCAAGAAGCAAGTTCTGTTCTCCCTCAGACGTAACCCCTGACTTTTCGGGATCAATTTTTCTTATTTATTTGTCTTTTGTTTATTGATTGCCCTTCTGATTGATTCTGTTAGTGTTGCATTCATTTTGTAATTTAGTAATTTTATTATTAACTTGATCATGAGTTTAAAAAAACACAGCAGCCACAGACTTAACTATGTGAATTACATTTTTGCTTTATCATGCATATTTGTCTTTTGATGTTGTTCCTAGAAACTTAAGTCTTACACTGAATCTATAACGTGATTTTGCTTTGAGACCAAAATATTGTCATAAAATTATTAAAACAGAACTTGCATTTTCAGTTTAAGAAAGGGTCTGGGGAACACCCAGAAGGCATGATTTTGCATCATTTGTTCTACAGCTTCTTGGGCCTTCAGCGGTTCAAAAACCCTTCAAAAAAAATTTTGCCTCGCTCCGCTCGGCAAAACATGTTTGCCAATACTTTTAAAACAGCCTTAGTTACAAACAAACTTTAATACTGTGTATGTATGCAATACATGTATATGCATTGGGGAATATAGGAGATTCATTTCTGCGGAGGATAATAATTAATTCTGATTAAATGGTACATAATGACTTGACTTTACATGAATTATTTATAATAAACAAATAATTTAAAAATTGTATGTTTTCGAATATATAAATATAGTTGTGAAAATAAATAATCAGTCCCTTGCTTTAATGAAAATGAAAAATCTTGCTTCAATAGTGCAGAAAATAGATAATCTGTCCTCTTAGTTTACAAAAATAAATAACCGATTCAAAACAAATCCTCCTGGCCCCCCCCAGAATATCAAATGGTCGTCCCCTAACATTCAGTGTATGACAACACTATAGTGTTAATACAAACAAGGTAGTTTGTTCCATGCATCAGTTTAAGACTTGAATTTTGCTTAGAAACTACCTAGCAACGTGGATTTTGCATAGCAACCATACTATTTTAGGCATTTAAAGTATGTATTTGCACATACAACCAAAATCACAAACCACAAATAAATAATTCATATCTACTGGCTAGATTTTCTAATGCATTAGTTTTAGATTGGTATTTTCCATAAAAACTACTTAGCAACGTGTATTTTCCATAGCAACCATACTATTTTAGACATTTAGTGTATGTAATTGCATATATAAGTTACATTGGGTGTTTGACAACAATATATTATTAATACAAACAAGCTAGTTTGTTCCATGCATCAGTTTCAGATTGGTATTTTGCTCAGAAACTACCTAGCAACAAATATTTTACATAGCAACCATTCTATTTCAACAGGCATTTAGTGTATGTTATTGCATATATAAGTTACATTGGGTGTTTGACAACAACATATTATTAATACAAACAAGCTAGTTTGTTCCATGCATCAGTTTCAGATTGGTATTTTGCTCAGAAACTACCTAGCAACATATATTTTACATAGCAACCATACTATTTCAAGCAATTAATTATGTATTTGCATATACAATTTTCATGGCATGACAACAACAAACTATTTCTTCATGCAAGCTATATTTGCCTATGCATCAGTTTCAGATTCATACTGTCACCTAAAACTACCTAGCAATTTCAATTTTGCATAGCAACCAGTTTTTGTATTGTTACATTTTTGTAGAAAATATATGATTGATTCGACATATCCATGATTTTTTCATATATATAAGCTGCAGTAACTTTCTAAATGTAGCTGCATAACAATGTGTGTATCTTAGGATGTCATCAGCATACTAGTATAGTATTTTTTTTAACAGTCACTACAGGTTTTACATTAAGTGCATGGTTGCAAAGGAAAATGTATTGTATTTATAAAAAAGAAGATGTGGTATGATTGCCAATGAGACAACTCTCCACAAGAGACCAAATGATACAGAAAGTAACTACTATAGGTCACCGTACGGCCTTCAACAATGAGCAAAGCCCATACCGCACAGTCACCTATAAAAGGCCACGAAATGACAATGTAAAACAATTCAAACGAGAAAAT